TATGTATGTATGTATGTATGTATGTATTTTTTTTCTGTGCAATCAGTATAAATTTGAGAGAAGATAGGAGAAAGCAGTATAGGCAGGACAGACAAAAAGTCTAGTTCCTTTCTTATATTTTGTAATAATCAAACCTTTAAAATCAAGCCTTATATCACTGTAAGGATCAATATTTGTTCTTCAAAATGCTAAATGCACTAACTGTAATAGAAGTATACCATAAGAACAAATGAACAGAAAAGAAGAAAAAAATCTGAGGAAACAATAAATTACTATGGATTCAATGCTTAAGACAAAGATCCCAAATGCTTCTATGCTTTTTCGGGATCTTTTTTTCTTTCTTTCCCTGAGATGCTATTGCCCTCTTGCTGTGTGAGCCTGCCCTGAGTACAGAAAATATCTTCCTAAAAAAAAAAAAAAAAGCAACAACTAACTCCTGAAGCAGTGATTAATGAATCCATTTGGCAGAATAGCTTATCTTTGACATTCAATGAGATTTTCCACATAGTGGGTCGATTGGCAGCTGTCAGAGTTAAGCTTCAGAGTATTAAGTAGCACCAAGAAATTGCATATATCAAAAGCAAAACATCATTATGACAATCAGAATCTCATCCAGGATACTGAGTGAGGCAAAATCTCTCATATTCCTTATAAATTCAGTTTAAGGGGTGGAAATTTTTTTAAAGGTAGTTAGTATGGGAGACACAACGACTGTTTGGAAATAACAATGTATATTTGAATGGTGATTTTGCTGGAGGAGTATCCGCATCAGGTGCTGAGCTACTGTATCACTGAATCTTCTTCCATACACAGAATATCTGACAGGTATACTTCTGTCCTGCAGCAGAAGAGGCTGAGCATACACAGCCCTGATTAGCAATCCTGTGGTAATTATATAGTTCCTCTTTCCCCCTCTTTAAGTTAAAAACATTGAATAAAGTAACAGCACAAAAATGTTTAACTATAGGGGCTTCTGGGGGAGGTATGGTGAACTGAAGACGGCTGTGTGAAAGTGGAGCTGACAACCACGGCAAGACCAAAGAACTAGTGAGTAGACCAGTTCCTTGGAACATCTCTGGATAAGGAGAGGATGGGAGATTACCCACATGTGCTTTGGATGGCTGCTCTTCATGAAGAGACAGCAGTTTCCTGTGGGTTTGAGTGCCAGGAGACAATGGGATTAGCCACCTTGCTTGCAACCATGGCAGAGATTTTAAAGGACACTAAGTTCACAAACCTCACTTTCTAATCACTTTTGGAAATTGCTTATTAACTATTCTAAAGCTATAAGAGACCTTTTGAATGACAGGTTTGAAAAGTCTTCATTGGGTGAGTTATCTTCAACTGTGAACAAAGGAAAAATTAATTACAAGCTTAAGAACTTAAGAATTTGAAATAAACAGCAAAAGTTAAATAAGATTTTGACCTAAGAAAGTTATAAATGGATTAAGGGTCCAGATAAATTTGGAATATTGACTTTTCCTATAAGATTTTGGAATTAACTATAAAAAATTGACAGCTTCTCATGGGAAACAGACTTATTTTGGTTATCCTGGCAATTGCAAGTCAGACCTAAGAAAGTTATAAATGGATTAAGGGTCCAGATAAATTTGGAATATTGACTTTTCCTATAAGATTTTGGAATTAACTATAAAAAATTGACAGCTTCTCATGGGAAACAGACTTATTTTGGTTATCCTGGCAATTGCAAGTCATAACAAAAGATAAGTGAAGGTTTTAGAGGGGACTAAAGATTTTAAGCAGAAGAAAAAAGAATACAAGCCTGATGTCAATTAATACTGGGACTTACAGAATGATACAAATGTTAGAACATTGGAAATATTAAAGGAGATTTTTGAAGAATGGAACCAGAAGTTAATAACTACAATATCAACACTGTCAGTAATGATGTCTGCTTCTAGGTAGACTATGTCTAAAATATGTTAATGAAAGAATGACAGGTGTGGAACAAATTTTATCTGATAATATAAAGTTTAGAATGTGGAACTACAAATGACAGGCCAAGAGAATGATTTTGAAAAGGATGCTTTACTGGATATACAAAAGAAACTGGGTGAAGTTTTAAAAATTAAAAGGGAAATACAAATGACTTGAAAAATGATCTCCAAAAGAGGCTTGTTAAAGCCTTGATGAAATCTGTGTGATGCAATAAAGAAGAACTGAAGAGAAATCAAATCCTACAACAATATTTGACTGAATAAAGATTAAGACCTAACAGTCTTAACAATCTTAAAGGAAAGAATGTAAGGTTGGTTTATTTGATCAAGATTAAAATAAGACTTTTTTGCAATGTTCTGGCAACAGTTTATAGACTTTTTGCTGACACCACAATTGAAAAGTGAATGTACAGAGAGAGAGAGAGAGGGAGAGATGGGGGGGGGGGGGGGGGGGGGGGGGGGTT